AGCTTCGTTTCTAATTGTTTAGGTAATTGGTTCAACATAACGAAGTTATCGGATTCAAAGGCAACTGCTCGCGCTTCTGCATCCTTAGCTCGCTGCAAAGCTTCCAGTTCCTGCCTAGCACTGTTCAACAAAGTGCCCGCGGCCGCCAGTGCCTCTGTGAGAAGGCCAATGAAGGCCCCCTTGCCGTCCTCTGCTTTGAATTTATGAGCATCCTGCCACTTCTGAAACTCTGCTCGCAGCGTGTCCCAGTTCAACCAGTTCTCAGAAACCCAATCCCTGTCCCACCGAGGGGTTTTCCACCCCTTAGCCTCTTGCCATTTTCGCTGCTCTTCCACTGCCTTCTCCCAAGCATCCATGGCCTGTGTATCACAGAACCCCACTTCTGACACCAATTAATGCCGCAGCCCAGAAGGGTTACTTGGCACGTGGGTGTGCAAAGATTGCAACTGAGAGCAGGTTTGCAGGACTCTGTCCTGCACAAAGACACGGAGGATATATCACCTATGGTCTTTACTTCATTACAGTTTACTAATCTCAAGGCAAGTATAGTTACGATTGGCAAAACAAGTATATCAAAACAAGTATATCTATACTACAAGTTACTGTAAATTACTACTAGAAAGCAAACATATATTTCCACAGCAACAGCAATCAATATTAGCAGTAAATCTATATTTCATTGTTACAAATTACTGCAGATTTACCACTAGTGAAGCAGCAAATATACTTATCTGTAACTACTTAAATGCAGGCCTTTATATAGTGTGTACATACATATATATAATTTTAAAATGTTACCGGCACCAATTGCTCATCAAACAGATCCCAGCAGTGAGGCCAATCAAACCCATCCCAGATGTGGGGCCAGTCGACAACAGATGAGGTCTCACTTGGATGATGATCCGCATCACAGAACCCAGAGTCAGCTCAGAGGGGGTCTAGCGAGGGGTCCCCAGCAAGGGTCCTCTCTGTTGAGGAAATCTCATGGGGAAAAAGGGTACATGTGCGGAAAAGAGACTTGATTTGGGGTAAAAGTAAGTCCTTTGTATATCAGAGACATAAAGGGGCGTAGGACACCACCACCCAGAACAGCCAATAGACGCTGCTCAATTCTATTTCTCATGAGGCACAGCCAATAACTGGTGATGTTTTCTATTCTCTCAGACCAGTTTCTCTTTTATCAGACTGTTTTTCTGTTCTGAGTTAGAACAGCCAGTGGCAGTGACCAATGCTTACTTTCTCAGGATGTTTTCTCCCTTTTTCCAGGCGCTTTTTTTTCACCTTTCCAGACGATAAGCTGCTGTTCCAGTTCCTTGTTTTTGCACTTATCAATGGTATCTCGGGATGTCTGTGGTTTCTCCGTATCCAGCTGCACTTCAAAGATGCCAGCTGCACTCCTCAAGGATGCTTCTGGTTCCCAGGCCTGTTTCCCAGGCTGGCAGGCATTTTCTCTGTCACTATGTAAGCAGAGGTTTTCTGTTCAATATTTTCCCCCTTATAAGCAGCTGGTTGCCTTTATAACTGCTCCCACCATCAGCCTAAAATGGTACCGCTTAGCAAAGCAGAAATGATCAGCTGCACGGAACACTGCAGAATTTCCCTATCTAAATACTCCTGTTAGTGAAAGTAGCTTTAGTGTAGCTACTATTAGTTATTTGGGAACAGATCAAAAGTGACTGCACTAGCTTAGCTTCTCCTCCTGCAATACCTATTTGGGCTAAACACAACCTCTGGCATACCATCACCCTTCTGCTCAGGAGACCACACTACAAGCAAGAACTTCGCAGTTACAGCCTTTCTCAGGCTTCCTCCTGTTCTACGTGCTGGCCAGCCTCCACCTACAACCCTACATTTTCACAGCCTGGCTGTGGATAGCATCAACTTATAAGAAAAAGGTCAGAGGAGGACACGGGTCATGCAGAAACAGAACCAAGACTGAGGACGAAGTCAACCCAGACGCGCAGGCAGGGTCACCTCTCCCAGCCTGCAAATGCTGGCCAGAAGAGTTAGAGGAAAACCTGACGCTGAAGCAGGCACCAGGCTGAGTTTTAATTTGCTGCAGTGTTCAAACATGAAGTTGTACTTGTCACTATGGTACAGACCAACCAAGAACCAACAGAGTGATTACAAACAAACAAAAGATCCAGTCTGTCTAGCTCACAAGCCTTCCAAAACAGACCATTTCCCTGAGGCTGGGACCTCCAAAACTCAGATCTGGAAACAAACTTCCTCTGGGTGTTTCACATTCCTTTGGTTGTGTTCCCTTAATGCAATGTTTGTGTCGCTTGCTAAAAAAAAAATCCACAGCAACAGGCTTTGCCAGTAAATTAAAAGGGAAGTGATTCAGTTATTTTTCTGGTATTAAGTCTTAAATAAATTTTCATAGAATAGGCTACGGAAACTATAATATGACCTGTCAATTATTGGTTAATAAAGCAATGTTGATAGTGTGACATACAAATACTTTTAAGGACAAAAAATTCAACTCAGCTGTTTTTAATTTGGTGCTTGGTTTATAAAGATTTTGCAAGAATTTTAAGTAAATTGAGTAAAGCACTGTACTGATTAAAGTGCCCGGGCTGGGTTCTCTTGATGCAGGACTACTCATGCTAGACAAAGATACTCACAACCTTGGAGAGACAGTGAGCATTATATACAAATATCAAAAGCTACATAATAATTCCTTACTGGTTCCAGCTTGTGCTGGTCTCTCATGCAGTCCTGCTATGACTTGCACAGAAATAGCAGTAAGTCAGCCCTCTTTCTGCTGCAAGCACTGATTACAGTCTTATTTCACTATGAAAACCTGTGATATTTTTTCATTCTGTTATAACCCATACTCCAGAGTGGATTAAGATCACGATTTCATAAAAAAAGCCTACTTGTCAGATAATATAGAACATGTGACAACCCAGAAACTTAAATATAGCCTTATGCCTCTACCCCAGACTCACTCAGATCAGAGTCAACTGCAAGACTTTCCAATTCATATATTATAATGCAAATGAGTTTTGTAAATTGTGACCTAGTTCCCATGTTAGGAACAGTTGGGACCAACAGCAGGAACTACACGATGAATGTGAGCAGCAGGGGCAAGCAAGGAAATGAACATTTGTTTTTAATTTGAAATGGATTTTTAATCACTTTCAGGTGCCTCAAAGAAAGTGCACACGCTTGTTTACTATAATCATCCTGACAGAAGAATGCATATAGGAGGTAACACGTTTTTGTTTTACTAATTGAAATGTTTGCGACATTGATGTCAAAACAAAGCGCCAGAATAGGGCTCTTTCTGGATGATTTACTGGGAGCACAATGAAGGACTGTGAAATGAAGTTTTCCAATCCATCTGTTCCTCAGAACTTTTTCTGTAAAGTAAATGAGTTGCACATATCCTCTAAAAGTGACTGGATATTAGATCACATCCATCTCTCTAAATACAGCTGCTATTTTTTCAGCTAGAGGGCTGATAAACTAACTCTTCAAAGAGCCTGCTCAGGGATTTCGCTGCACGATGTCAGTCACTCGGGAAATTCTGCTTGTGCTGTGAGCCTGCAACAACACACAGTTCTGACCTCCTGCCTGAGGCAGCTTTCTGGTAAACTCTACTGTTTTAAATGAGGGCATCAGCAAGGGCGTAACTTGTTGAAAACCAGACAGATTTTCATCCTAAGCATATCTAGAGTTGGTATCATCACTGGAAACTATTAGCTGTAAAAAAGCTAGGGCGTCAACTCTCCTGAAAAATAGTGTCCCGGCTCCCTCTGGTGGAAAAAGTAATTTTCTGCAAAACAATTTGAGTGAGAAAGTCTTGTTTCTGCTACATACCTCAAGGCCAGGAGATAAAGATGAGACAGTAAACAAATCTTGGTCTTAGACACTCTGCATAGATTAATCAAACCAACAATCAACAAAAACTCTCCTTTTGAACTTCAGCAGAACTCCAATCTGCTGTTTTGAAAGGCTTAGTGAAGGGTCCAGTACTAATCCCAAAAAACTTCTCACTAGATACAGCTGTTCCTAGTCCAGAAGCAAGCGTATTAACAAAGGGACTGTTTTCTCCATGTGCTTTGCATCAGCACAGAAACAGCAACAGGCTAGAACTGCATCACCATTTGTCTTTGCCTTTGTGACAGCAATGAAAATTCAAGCCAATTTCCACCACACATACACTAGGTATATTTAAGGTTATTCCATCCTTTCTAATCAAAGCCAATCATACAAGATAGTTCTACTTCTCCTCATTCCTCCTGAAGAGTGGAAAGTAATTACTGGAAGTATTCCAGCTATTGTCACAAGAAGTCAATAAACAGAAACACATTTTTGTTTCTCATTAGAGGAATCAACAGTTTCCTGTAATCAAGCACACAACTAGTTGCTCTGACAAGTTCTTTGTAGCTCCTGCAAACAGAATCATGAGCAGTTCCTGCAGTTGCAAACACACTAGAATGACTTTTTATAAGGGGGTTCTGAAAACAGTATTTCACACTGCTACAGAAGGAAGACTTAGAGATTCAATGAAAGGAAAACAGTAGCAAAAAAATTATTTATTAAACACCATATTATTCAACTGCACAGTGGGGGATTAAAACCCATACTTGCTCCTCAGAAATAGCAGAGCTGAGTAATCCACTGAGAATGGGGCAGCAGGTCAGGTCTGCAGGTGAAGTTTATTGAGAACAGTAAAATACTGTTTCCATAGACAGAAGGAATCTGAGGGTGGGGAAAAGAAACAAAAGCAACAACAGCCAACCAAATACCCTTGGAGTGTTTCGTGCAACATTTTTCAGCAGAGGAAAGCAATTAAGGCTAAAAACTGGGCATGAAGTTTTGGTTTCATACATTCAAATATTAAAAATAAACAACCATGGCATGTACAACTTGATCTGTGTGTGTGATTAAAAATAATTTAGTTAGTAATAGATGTTCTCCAAAAGGGCAGTTTTGTACTGGCTGAAGTGTCTATGTATTTAACTGGAGTCTCAGGATGTCTGCAGCTCCATCAGCTTTGCTTATTTACTAGGAAAGTGGTCTGCTTTCAATCTTCTGCACGAACACCAAGTCTGCTCATGTAGCTCTCCCAAGCTGCCTTCCTGTACTTCTCTGCTTCTTGAAGACGGTCAGAAGCTGACAAGATGCCACGTCCCACAATAATGATATCTGAACCTTTTTCACTAATAACTTCTTTGGGGCTCAGGTACTTCTGTCCAAGGTTATCACCTGAAATAGACATCTGGTTTTTTAGTTCATACTGTATCTACTAAAAACCTTCAAAGAGGTGCTGGAACAGAGAGCAGGTATGGTGTTCCACCTCTCATCCTAACAATCCACAGTCATAACTAGAAACTATGTCTCTAAGGAACAAACCCCCCATTACACAGATCAAATCTGAGAGTGTCCTTTACCAATCACAAGAGATGGAACACTGACACAAAGAAGCACTGATCGGGATTACTGAAATAAGCCTTAGCCTTCTTGAAACAGGCAAAACCTCCAAACATACACATAAAAGCTCACTTCAAGTTTCACATGAATTACGTATTGCAGAGAAACACATCTCCTACCTGGTTCAGTGATAACCTGTTTAGTCAGCATAAGATTTCCAATTCATTGATACTGCATCTATATCAGTACCAACAGTGTTACAGATAGACTTCTGTGTTTGTTAAAAATCTTTTTTCCTACTCCTACTGAGTAGTTGTACATCTCACCTAACACCTACCTGAAGACATTTCACATGTACTAAGCACTGTGCTTTATGGTATCCACAGACCTCAGCACATGAACAAAGCAGTGTAGCCTGCTGGTTGCCTTTCTGAGCTCCCAGGAAATGGATCAGCGTACCCAGAAGTACAGAAGGCAGCCCACAATTACTTTTTCACTGAAGGCTAGATCACTTCCTGTATTTACAGCAGACTATAAATAGTTCAGAAAAAGTTACCTCCAGTTTGCAGCTGCACCCCTGGAGTTAAGTGAAGAAATTCCGGTTTATTACTAACTCTAGATCCAGATATGAATCCAAAAACAAAATCCGAGTTGTCTTCAGCCATCTGTACCTGAAGAAGATCAGTAAACAGTTACAAGGGACATACCTAAAACTAAGCTTGACTAGCAATCTGTTTCTCATCCACTTTGACACATCAAGCTGTGCAAGGCAGGGGTATGAAACACCTGGTCTTGCTTTTCCATTATAAAGTCACCCAGAGCTGACTCGCCCCTCACTGATCTTGTTGCATTGGCAGCCAGGAACATGAATGTTATGTTTCTTTCTGTGTTATAAATAATACAATGAAGGAACTTAAACTAATTAGAAATGTATTGCTTAAGAAAAAAAGAAAAAGGAAGGGGGCCAACAGCAAACTTGGCATGTTTACTAGAATTCACAGTGAGAACTCCAACCACTTTATGCCACTAGCCTACAGCTGCGACCTTTAAACACCACACTGCCAGATTCCCAAGTCTCCACAGGAAAAAAACCTGTAATAGTTACAGCAGGAGAGACTTTTGGAAGAGCAAATACTAGAAGCACACAAAATCTCCCAGTCACAACACTTTATAAGTTTTTAACCCAAAACAAGACTGCCTACTTACTGCAGCTTTTGTGTATTCACCCGTTGCAAGTGAGCCCTGGGAACTCATCTCGGCAATTAGAAGACAGCCGCGCTGGAGGGGAAGACCTACTTCCTTCAGACCTTTCACAACTCCAGAGCCTGGAACTGCATGGGCATTAATGATGTCTGACCAGGACGCAATTTTGAACACACCACCTGAGAACATGGATAGGAAGACACAGGCAAAGTGTTATTAGAAATGTATTAAACAGGAAACACGAATTAAACAAAACAAGCTGCAGGCTAAACCATTCACATTTTAAAAGACAGTTTTACTACTGAAGCTTGACAGTTCCAAGTTCAGTCTCATCAGACAGTCCCGACAGCTGTCTAACCACAAAGCATAATCTCTCAGTTTTACTTTCCACAAACACTTCTTAGTACCTTGCCTTTAACAGTCACTGAGGCATTTATGGTAACCTAAACATCTACTGTCACAGGTGCTGCCTTCCAGTACAGCACGCAGATCATACGGGACGTAGAGATCAGAAAAACAGTTCTACAGTTGCAGATGCAATATTGAATGAAAGCCATACAGAGCAGACAAGTGCACAGCAGCAGGCGGCCTTAAGGAGTCACACTGCATTTTCTCACAGAAAACAACCACTCCAAAGTACTTACTGAGCGCAAACAAAGATTCATAGAAAGGTTTAGGTTGCAAGGGACCTCTGGAAGTCATGCCCTCTTAGCAGGATTAACTCCAAAGCTAGATCAGGTTGCTTGGGGCATTGTCCCCTTGAGTCTTCTCCAAGGCTGGAGATTCCACAATCATTCCTGGCAACCTGTGCCAGTGCTGCAGTTACACACACTGGCAGCAAAGCTACAGTAAATTGAGGCTGATGATAATCACCTTCATATTGATGTTTCACCGTGTTCCCAATGTCTGCAAATTTCCTGTCTTCGAAAATCAAGAATTCATGTTGATCTGCGAGCGTTCTCAACTCCTTTACTACCTCTTGGGTAAAATCATTCAGGATGTCTATATGAGTCTTAAGGATACAAATGCTGGGCCCCAGGATGGCAGCTAACTGCAGCAGCTCTCTGGAGCTGGTGACATCAGCAGAAAGGCATAAGTTCGTTTTCTTCTTTTCCATGAGTGTGAGAAGCCTGGCTGCAATCGGATGTACCCCCGGCAGCTCGGCACGAGCGCTGAAGCTCAGCTCTTTACACAGTCTCTTAACAGGAGCAGGACCATTCTGAGCCACTGGCTCAAACACACTTTCCTGAATGAATTTCTTCACCTTTTCAACTGTCTCCACGGCCACTTCTCCCTGATGCTGGAGAATCTCCAACACCCCAGACAATGTGCACACAGAGTGCAGACGAATTCCACGTTCCTCTAACCTGGCCTTCCCACCCTGCTCCCTGTCCAACAGCACTACAGCATCTGTGACTTTTAATCCTTCTTTCTGAAGAACTTCTGCAGTTTCCAGTACACTAGATCCACTTGTTACCACATCTTCAATGATCAAGCATGTTTCTCCTGGATTAATGGTGCCTTCTACCAGCCGCTTGGTACCTTAAAAATAAAAGGCAAACACTCCACTAAATTAAATTTAAAAGACCAAAAAAACCCCCTTAAAGTATCAAAACTGTAACTTGTTACGCTAATGTAAAGATTATATTTGTTCCACATACAAGTACAGGCTGCAGCATATTCTGAAGAGAATAGAATTTGGACTTTAAGAGAATAGAACGTTCACATTCACTGTCAGTATGGAGAAGTAATTTGCTTAGTTATTAACTGATACTGGTTATCACAGTTCTTACCACAGCTCAGTCACTGACTTGTAATTCAATTCATAAAGATTGTTACTTCTCCAAGTTAATAAAATACTTATTTGTTTCCAGAAGTTATGTTCTGTCAGTTGACAAACTGACATATTAACTGCAAAGATTTAAATGTTTGGATGACTACAGAAGTTTATTATTGCCCTGAACTGAATGATCAGAATTAGGAAACTATTTTCTCCTGTTATTTAAAATGTCTTCAAAGCAGCCAAGTTACTGGCATTCTTCAGCATATTCACTATTTTCCACAGGCAGTAATCTGTGCTTAGTATTTCTGTTAGAACAATTAGAAAGAGTAAAGTCCCAAATGCCTTTATCCTAACCAGCAACAGGCACATGTCCATGAAAGACCTCCTGGGGGGCAGCAACAAAGGATGACTAGCTTTCCCAGGAAACAGTAAGCAGCAGGCAAACACCACGGGGTGAGTGCAGTGCTTAGACAGCCTGGAGAACAACCATATGTACAGCTTTGCAATCCATGCGACACCGGAAACCTTGTGTCAGGCAGTTAATTGCTCTCACAATTGGCTTGTCCTTCACAAGAAGGAACAACCAATGTTTTCATGCCTGGCACATGGACTAACATAGGAGTAATGTTTAGTTGTCACAAGCATCCTTTCTAATTACTGTTGAAGAGTATAGTTCTTATCACATGCATAAATCCAGTTGCTATGGTAGGTTAATGCTTCAGTCTTCTCTTCCTCTATCAAAGTCAAATAAATGGTTCACTGAGCAGAGTACTGACTGCTTCTCACCTGGTCCACCATGCCCCATGACTACAGGACACAAAGGAAAAAGGAGTTTGAGAGTTAAATGAAGAAACTAGAAAGGTTCCTCTTGGGGTCAATATGCAGTAAGTTCTGTGTGGGGGTGAAATGTGGCACCACACTCAGGGTATCAGAGAAACTGAGTTATACACCCGAATTTCTGGAAGATACAAATAACCCTGAACCATGGTAATGGTGCTGAGGAAAAAAGACAGTGCTGAAGCACACAAAAAAGAAACAAAACTCCTCACTCCAGAGTCTCCAAACATACTACAGCAAGATTCAAGCTACACCTTAATCACCAACCAGTTGGGAGAGCCCAACCAAGCTCGGGCGCCCTTGGGAGAGCCCAACCAAGCTCGGGCGCCCTTGGGAGAGCCCAACCAAGCTCGGGCGCCCTTGGGAGGTACATTGCCCGTGGGAGGTACATTTTCGGACAGAGAGAGGCTGTTTTTGGAATTGGAGCGGTAGCCTTAGGCTGGAATGGAGATGCTGCACATTGCAAAAGAACCACACAGAGCCATGTGACAAACAAAACAAGCAGACACCAGATCTCGGTTTGAAGGCTTTACCATAGTCTTTTGCTTCCTTCCTCCGTATAAGCATCGGAATCTGATTCTCGGCGCAGATGATGGTGGCCAGGGGCAGAGCTGTGTACGGAACGCCGCACACGCAGTCGTACTGCAGACCCGCATCGCTGGCTGCGTCAAACAGCAGATCCGCAACCTGAAACGCAAACC